TGTAATTGAATGACAATTAAGACCAATATTTTGTAATTTTAATTGAGAAAGATAGGTTACAATATTATATTTATTATAATTATTTACTAAAATGTATTAATTATGATAATTGAATGATAACTAATATCAATATTTATATAACAATATAACTAACAATTAAATTCTATGTGACACTATCAAAATTAAAGAGTCATATGTGGCATTATAATCTCATGTATCATCACCAAGAATCTTATGTGGCAAAAGTAAGAGAAGAGCATTCATTTAAGAAGTGTCACATGTTAACTTCTTGAGAAAAAAATGCTTTATAATATATTGATTAAAGCATAAGTTTTTGTTTATATTAAAATAAATACAATTGCTTGAATTGTTTTGACTTTGTCGTACAGGCTATTTGTAATGTTACTTTTTATGTACTTAATTTTATTTTTTTATAATAAAGTGGTTTCAAAATAAAATTCAACCCAATCCATAGACCTAATCTTTCAATTCCTAATTTATAAACTAGATACTTAAAACCTTAATAAGTGCCCAAAAAGAAAAGAAAATCAACTCATCACTCAATCTCCAACCTCTTGTCTTCAACTCCAAATCAATATCTATATACAATTATAATGAAAAATAATAATAAATTATTTTTTATTGCTGGGTAAAGAAAAAAAATGAGCAGATAATCTGAATTTATAATGATAATTATTTCGGTTATAATGACAGTCTTACTTATCAAGTGCATTAGAGAAAGGAATGTATGTAAATGCATATAAATTCTTGAAACCCAAAAAATGACCCAAAACATAAATATATTAGTTCTATTTTCTTTCAATTTTACAAGCACTATTTTTTTAAGTCAAACAGATTTAGAATATAATAGGAAAAACATTAAGAAAATTAAAAATATTTAATCATCAAGAGGCCATCTATTTATTGCAAGAGAGATATAAATCTCTTACAAAATTAAGATAATAGTAGTTACAAATTAATTCAGTAATGAAAAAGAAAATAAAAAATAAAACATAAAAAATTGTTATTAAAGATAGAACTCTTTTCGAAACCTAACATATAACAAGAAATAAATTATATTTAAAAAAAATTATCAATTTCAATTTTAAAAATCAACCATTTCTTTAGCTGAAAATGTTGTAATTTAATGAAATTTGATGTTGATAGACAAAAAAAAAAAAAAAAATTATATCCAGACAAAAAAAAAAAAAAAAGATTAATAGCCAAGGTCAATGAAATGAAAAATTACAAAGCAAATAATGCTAGGGCTCAACAACAGCTAGTCTTGGCCGGAGACAAAAGAAAGAGCTGGAAACTCAGAACTGATCTAAATTTTGTTTCTCTATTTTTATTAAGTTACAAATTGATACCGGATCCACATCACAAATTCCACTATGGAGCTCAAGGAACCAAGGAGCAGCAACAATGGTAATCCATTAGTACTTGAAAACAACTCTGAAATTCTTGGCACAATTAATCTTGTAGAACTCACAATCTTAATTACTAAGGAAACTATGGTTCTGTTCATGCAAAGATGAAGAACATACGGATTCGCTACCACTCAACCATAGAGCTCAAGGAAGCATGGAGAACACCTAAGTTTCTCACATTAATGGAAGCCCAAGTTGAGTTGGAAACCTGAATTTCCAGCTATGGCACGCCCCAGACTGTGCTAGGTTAGCAAGCCCCAGGCCATGCAAGTCTCTGACTCTCACGAGGAAACACTTACCTTGAAGCACGCCCGTGCCAATTAGCACGCCCCAGACTATGCTCGCCTCTGACTCTCGAGAGGAAACACTTACCTTGAAGCACGCTAGTGCGTATTGGCACACCCCAGACCGTGCCCGCCTCTGCCTCTAGCTAGATTAGTTAGTTTATTTTGAGTTTTAATAATGTTAATGGGTTGGGCCTCCTATAATTCTGGGTTTGGGCCCTCCCTATATTCGACCACCTTGTTATTTTTCCCTTGATTGGTTTAGATTTAGTCAATGCTTTAGTTGAGATTTGGGATTAGTTAGACCAAATCCTTACGTTGTTTATGATTTGCTATCTTATCCTATGTTGGTTTAGATTTGCTAAATCCTAATCCTTAGCTGATTTAGACTAACTTATTCTAAATCCTTTTAAGGAATCAGGACTCTTAGAATTAAAAGTAAAATATATGCTTGTTATAATCTGTAATTCTACAAAAATTATTCATGAAATAAGAAATTCTTCAACTTTCAATCTTAGGCGTGGTTCCTTGCTTTAAGGAGAGAGTGTGAGATTGCATTCTTCTAATTGATCAAGAATCAAGGTAACTTAATCATTCACTTTGTGGCGTATTCACTTGTGGCGTTTATCTTATTCTTTTCTCTATTATTGGTGTTCTTGCTTCTTTAAGCTTTGGGTGCCATAGAGGGGAGTTTAGTTTGATTTGGATCTCTTTCAAATTTTGTCATAGAGTTCTTGGAATAAATTTCCATAGGGTTTCGCGTCACAAATTTAAAATAAATAAGTTAATGAATTAATAAAAGGATTACATAAAAGAAACGTTTTATCCTCGCCAAATAAATCCTTAATTTTCCCTACAATCATATTAAAAAGAAAGAGTATACTTTTTTCTTTTTAATTATCTATATACATTTATTTAAAAAATAATTTTTAGAAATTATATTCAATTAAATAATAAAATGTAATTTTTCTTTTTTTCATCTTAACTACAAGTATTTCGAGCCCACTAGGCTCGAACTAAATCCTGCTTGCACCAGTTTGGCCTAAAAAAGGATAAAGTGCTCTAGTATTTGCTCTATTCATGATTATCGAACCCTCGATCTCACTTAAGAGAGAAGAATGCTAAACCACTCATCCAAACACTTATTGGTATAAAATGTAATTTTTGAATTAGTTACGACTAAGGCTATTTTAGAATCTTCTAAATTTCATTAAGAACGATATGGAAAATCTCATTATTCCCCATATTCCCATATTTATTTATATATAGTATATATAGATGTATTCGTGTGGATACTATTTGGTTGGACAATTGGGCGAGTCGATTAAAATCAACACAATGTGATTTTAAAAATATTCATTATTAGTTGTTGCTCCAATCCTTTATGCTTTGCGTTACTATTTATTCCCCACCCCCGCCCCCTATTGATTTATTTAATTACGAATTATAAATATATGCCGAGGTAAAATAGCTAGTAAAAATAAAAATGAATTACATTATTTTTTGTAAACCTTATGGACACAGCCAAAAATAATCATTACTAGCAGCATCCCCGTGCTATGCACGATTAAAAAAAAGTAAAAAAAAAAAAAAGAGTAAAATTGAGAAAAAAAAGAGAAAGTATATATATATTATATATATATAGATTCTTAAATGAAATTTTTTATTTATGTTATTACAAAATATTTAAACAAGTTTATTATCAAATAGTTAAAAAAATAGTAAAATTGGTATTTTTTTTTGGGAAAATTTCTTTTTATTATTAAACGTAAAAATTAGTAGAAATAGAACTATATTTCAGGAATATGATTGAAATATTGAAATTTACAGAGATAAACTAAAAAAAAGTAAAATGAAGAGGTTTTGGAAAATAAAATATTTGCCCATTATTTGATTTATTTTGACAATTAATGTAATAAAATAATTTACTCGTATTTCATAAAATTCAAATGAAATAAATAATTTTTTTTAAATAATTAAGTGGTATAAATCCTGCACTTGATCATGTTAATTAATACTATAATTAATCAATAATATTTAAAACACAATTTAATTTAATAAAAAAATTTTTTAATTTTTTAATATACAATAAATATTTGGTCCATATCAATAAATTTTATAAAATTATGAAAATTTATTTAAGTCATTAAAAATTATAATAGAAATTATTACTTAACAACGCTATTAATTCTCTAACATTATATTCATCAATTATAATTTAGAGATCGATTATAATTCAATTATAAATTAATTTAATTTTTAAAGTAAATATAAAAATAGACAATTTAAGTAATCAAATCATATAACATATCATTAATTTGGAATCTAAACGTGGCAAGCACCAATGAAAAAGGAAAAATTATGGCTTACTTTATACTTATGTATTTTGTTTGATAATTGACGGTACAAAAGAACATGTTAACATTAATCTTTAGAAAATGAAGGACCAAAAAAAAAATGCTGAAGTAAAGAACTATTAACTTCCATTATAAGAAATAGGTTTAAATGTAAAAAATTCTAACTTTTAAGAAAAAACGAATAATTTATTTTAAAAGGCAGAGAGACCAAAAACACCTTTGGTCCAGAAATACAAAAGAATATAGTGACCAATTTTTATATATAGTATATATAATAGTAAAATAGTATATAATATATATTAGTAATGTCTAAGAAAGCTAAAGTTATTTTTTGAGAGTAAACAATTTAAAATTAAAAAAAAAATGAATTACACACCCAGTTTAAAAAAAAAATGGAAAACGTTGGATAAGGAATGTTAAAATACGTTTAAAGATAGAAAACGGTTATTTAGGAAAGAAGCGTTGTTATTTCACAAAATATTGAAGGAGTAAAATATTTGTTACAAACAATACAATTAATACACTTAATTGAATAATTTAATTGTTTATTAAACTTATCATTTTTCAATACATTAATACATTAATTGAATAATTTATTGTTATTAAACTTTATCATTTTTTAAAAATTAAAAATTAATAATAATTACTTAAAGCCATTGTTACATTAAATAACCAAATCAAACCAAACCAAAAATGTTAATTCAAAATAAATTCAAATCCAACCAATATATTAATATATTGAATAATCAAATCAAATTAAATTAAAAACACTAATTCAAAATAAATCCAAATCAAATTAATATATTAAATAATTAAATCAAACAATGTCAAGTTGAAGCCTAATTAGAAAAATATGTCACGTGTAACTTTATAGGGAAAAAATGTTGTTATATATATATATATATATTGATTAATCGAATAAAATTTGTAAGGCTATATTGGTATATAGGGTTTGGATATGTGTAAATAGACGAGCTCTACGGCTATAGTTGAAGCTACGGAGTGGCCCCGCCATAATCAGCTGTCGCCACTTCTGCCTACGCCTTACGTACACTCCCGAGACAACCCTGGGAGCTTTGCCGGATTCCGATTCTAAGTAGACTGTGACCTCCTCTATGTATCTGACCCAGAGCGAAGCCCTCAGGTACTCGACCGACAGAGGCATTCCTTCTGCCGCTGCCGCTACAGCTTCGCATTTGGCCTCTTGGACCCCACCACCAGGTGTCGATGTTCCTGCCGCCGTTGAACCTCTCCTCGCCGGCATCAAACGCTCTTCTGAAGGTTTGCTTCTTCTCTTGAATTTTTACATTTTTTTCTCTATAATTGCTTCCGTTTAGAAAAACACAACCCAAATTTATTTGAATTTAAATTTTCTTTTATATTCAGTTTAAACTATGTAAAAGGTAAATTTGAATGATAAACTATGCACCAGGAGTTTGTTGGATGCTTGACAGATTTGAATGATAGAAAAGCTGATGACTATTGCTCATTGAGTTTTATGTCATTCAATTGCTCAAGAACATTAAAGTTCAAATGCAATAAAATGCAACATCAGATCTTCTTATTTCTGCTATATTGTTGAAGTATTGATCATTTGTGGTCATTGATCCTTCCTCACATGGAATCGTTAAGATATTGTTTTTCTCCTCCAATGAATGTGAAAATTTTTGCTAATGCTATGAATAATAATTCAGATGATTTTTCCCCAGTTGGGAGGAGTTGGAAAAGTGACGTGCTTGTAATAGCAAAGGCCAAATTTGAGGATTTTGGATATATAGATAATTATTTATTTCTAAGACAACAAATCTTGCAAGCTTAATTAGTCATAGCTGAATCTATGGTATGAGAGGTTGTTTTGTGTTTCAAGTAAAGGCCAATTCAAGAACTTTGAAATAGGTATAATTATTTTATTTGTAAGATGACAAAGCTTGGAAAATAAATAATGTAGTTCTGTCCATAGGCATTAGGGTTTTGTTTCGTAATTTAAGTGCAGTTACTAAATGTAGTCTATAAGAAAATGTTAGTCAATTGATGTGTTTGTTTCCGTGGTGTTCCATAATTTGTCTGACTCTTGAATGTTCTAAGATTATTCTTTTCTTATTTCTCTAGAATTACTCCAAAACCAATAAGCAGATTTTGAAACATCAGTTCTTTTAATGTATTCCATTAAAAGTGGACACCTACAGCATTGTTCATCATTTATCTTTATTTTCTATTATGACTTCCTTGGTTGAGTGCTGCATCAATTAAGAAGTTGTCCTCCCTTGTTTTATTACATAATTATAACATACAACAATAAGAACGACTACTAAGCCGTAAACCTAAGCTAGTTTCAGTCTACATGGATGATTTCTTCCATTCCACTCGGTTTCGCATTACTTCTTTGGAAAGTGTAGAAATTAAAGGAAAGAATATGTTTTATTTCTTTCAATTGTGTTATATTTTTCAACCTCCACTCCACTATATATATACAAAAAATTGTTCCAAATTATTTTTTCACCCCACTCACAACTATATAATATACAAAGAAATTGTTCAATAAGAAAGTAATTCTAAATAGGAATAAAACCTAAACTTAGGAAACACAATCTTTACAACCTAAATTAAGGAAATAAACCTAAACTAGGAAACACAATATTTACTTAATCACAAAAGATTTTCAACACTCCGCCCGCAGTTGGTGCATAGATATCAACTCAATGCCCAACCTTGGCAAACTAGAATGAACAGCAACTTGCTAGGGCAAACATTCCTTTGTGTAAAACATCACTAGTTGCTCTTTTTGAAGCTTAAATAGGAGGCACTTAATAAACATACAACTATCTTCTCTTTTATAAAGTGACGATCAAGTCTCTATGTGCTTAGTTCGATCATGGCTGGATTTGGATTGTTTCGAAATAATACTGAATGGTGCTTTAACTATCAACAAATAATGATCATATTTGTTGTTTCACAACTTTAACTCTTCCATTATCTACGCACATAGAAGTTTCACAATATTCCCTGTCCTAGTTTCTAAATATTCAGCTTCTGCAGCTGGACCTTTCATCAACAACCTGCTTGCTTCTTGCTTCTCCATGTGACCAGATTTCCTCCAACAAAAACACAATAACCTGAGGTTGATCTCCTGTCATCAAGGGAACTAGCCCAATCCGCATTTGTATAGCTTGTTATTGTTAAATGGCCATGTTTAGAAAATAAAAGTCCTCTACCCGGAGCTGATTTTAAATATCTTAGAAACCGATGCACTGCTTCTAAGTGAGACTTCTGAGGGTCATGCATGTACTGACTCACTAAATTTACAGCATAGGCAATATCTGGTCTAGTATGGAGCAAGGTAAATCAATCTCCCGACCAATCTCTGATACCTGCCAACATCAACTGAACTTCCCACTCCAGCTTGAAGCTTATGATTTGCTTCAATAGGTGATTCATAGGTATTTGCCAAAGTTTTACCAATCCCAACATACCAGTTTCCTTTTAAGGAGATCATGATGTATTTCTCTGAGAATAAAAATCCTCTTTTTCTGACCTATGGCAACTTCTATCCCAAGGAAAATATCTCAAACTTTCCCAAATCTTAAATCTCAATCTCTAGCTAAACAAATTTTTTCAAGTGAGTCCATTTCTTCTTCATTATTTTCAGTCATCACTATATCATCAAATAAACAATAAGCAATGTGAATCTTACCGTTCATTGATGTTTAATGAAACAAAGATGAATCAGCATCGCTCTTCGCTCTGAATATACCCAAAAGAAAGCATAGTTTTACTAAACCTTTCGAACTATGCTCTTGGTGATTGTTTTAGCCCATATAATGACTTCTTCAGCTTGCAAACTTTTCCTCTGGTTTTGTCATCATCAAATCCAGGAGGGATCTCCATATATATCTCTTCTTTCAAATCACCATGTAGAAAAACATTTTTAATATCAAATTGATGCAACTCCCGGTCAAGATTGACTGCACAAGACAACAAAATTCTGATTGTGTTCATCTTGGTTACAGGGGCAAATGTTTCCTGATAATCAACTCCATAGGTCTGACTGAATCCTCTGGCTACCAATCTAGCCTTGTACCTCTCAATTGAAACCTCTCATTGAACCATCTGCCCTATGTTAACTGTGAAACCCCATGTACATCCAACTTGGCTTTCTTTCCTGGTGGAGTTACAAGATCCCATGTCCTCGTTTTCCAAGTCTCATTCCGTCAACCATTGCAGCTTCCATTTTGGGAAGTCTTGTAATGCCTCTGCCAATCCTGCGGTATAGAAAATAGAAGAATAGACAAAACAAAGGCTCTATAGGAAAGGGGACAGAGCAGTACAGAGGAAGATAAAATGAGACAGATGTGGATGTTTAGTGCATGTTTCTAACTCCCTTTTTCTAAGAGCAATAGGATATCAAGGTCATGTTTCAGAAGGAACCTGGAATTAAGATTAGGATCGAATCAACAGAATTAAAGAAGACTCAACAAGTTCTTTGTTCTTCTGTATCTTTCAGCGGACTGAAATTTCTTCTGTATTTTCAGGGCTTGAAATTGGAGAGGATGGTTGATCATAGGTATCATGCTCCATGGTTGTATCTGTATTAGTCCGCTGTATGTAGGTTTTCGAATCAGGTCTATCCAATCTTCCTACAGGTTTGGGTGGTTGGTCTCTCTTATTATCTGTCTACAGAAATCTCCCCCAAGAAAGGAATGTCATCCATCACCTCTTCCATCTAATATTTCTCACCCTGAAGAGGTGACTGGGAAGGAAAATAAGACTCAAATTCCCGAACATCCATACTCCTAATGTATTTCCTAGAAGGAGGATAATAACACTTGTATCCTTTTTGAGTAGTAGAGTAACCAACAAACATACTTCAAGGCTCTAGAATCTAATTTGCTTAGACAATTCTGATGAACAAAACAAACACAGCCAAAGACTTTAGAAGGTACAATATAAGAATTTTTTCCATGAAGAACCTCTAATGGAGTTTTAAAATTTAAAGTATGAAGACGCATACGATTGATAAGGTAAGCAGTAGTCAAAATAGCATCCACCCAATATGTTTTGAGAAGATTCATAGTGAACATAAGAGACCTAGCTACTTCCAGTAAATGAGTAATGTTATTTTCTTTCCGCTACTCTTTCCATTTTTGAGCACTAGTAATTACAAACTACGTCCTTGATTATAATACCATTAGAATCTAAATAGTACGAAAAATTGGCCATTATTCAGTACCATTATCAGTTCTTAGGATTTTAACATGCGCATCAAACTAAGTACAAATCATTTTATGGAAGTTCTGAAAACACGAAAAACTTCATTTTTTGTTTTCATCAAATAAACCCAAGTTAATCTAGTGCAACAATCAATAAAGATCACAAACCATCTATAACTAGAAAGAGAGACAATTTTAGTAGGACCCAAACATCAGAATGAATAGTAGCAAAAAGAATTAAATTCTTATTATTAATTGGAGAATAAGAATGCCTGGTGTGTTTGGCAAGTTCACAAGCATCACATACTAATGAATTAAAATCACAACTAATACGAATTAAAAATCACATTTAGGCAAACAAAGTGGGAAATAAACGTCCTAAAATAGAAAAAGAGGGATGTCCTAATCTCCTATGCCATTGAATAACTTCATGGGAAGGATTTCTAGAAGTTGCTAACAAAGCTTGACTGGTACATGAATTTGAAAAACAACTAACGTCATCCAACAGATACAGTCCATCGCGCAAGCTACCACTGCCAATCATTCTCCCCGAATTCAGTTCCTGAAATATACAATGAGTAGGGTAAAAAGTTACTTTGCAATTGAGTGCTTTTGTGATTAAGCTAATAGATAACAGATTAATAGGAAATCTAGGAAATTAATAGGTAAAAATCTAGACATGAAAACGAACAAGGGAGAGTTTAAATATTGGAATTATAAGTCAATGTAAGAAACCTGTGGCTAGCAAATTGGTAAACTCAAGGACGCCATCCGCAAACACTCTCCCTGCAAATTTGTTTGTTGCTTGTACTTAGAATATGTGAAGAAATGGTTTTTTATTAGAGCCTGTTGTATGTTTTTTATTTTGCCTCTGAATCTATAACCCAAGAGGGTATGTGCAAATTTTGCAAAGAAAGGTAAGGAAAGCATTACCTCTGAATTAACAAATAGAGACTGCATCTGAGTTGAGGACGATCAAGCTGCTGTGACAACAATCGTTTCAGGGACTGAATCTCCTTATTAGAAAAGCTTCCAGCAGTAGATGGTTCGTCAGATAAAGCTCCACTGTCAGATATGTGTGCCTGTGGTCTAGAAGAACTGACCCGCTTTCCTCCATGCCCTTTAGTTGGGCGTCCATGTAATTTGCAGCAGAACTCCTTAGTATGCCTGTTCTTACTGCAATAGTCACAAAATAATTGATCTCTATCTGAAGAAACTGCTCTTTGCAACCTGGATATGTTCTCTTGCAGAATTAGCAATCAACCCTGCTTTGTAAATGGTAGATCGGTGAACCATAGCGTTCCTCCTAGTCTCCTCTTGCTGTACAAAGTCTCCTCTTGCTTCGTAGCAAATGAAAAAAGGGTTAAAAAAATTGCTGGGGGGGGTTTATTTTTTTTTTTTTTTTTTTTTTTTCCCCCCCCCCGGTCAAAAGACAAAAAAAAAGGAAATGGAAAAAAAGGAAAAAAAATCCCCCTTGTCCAAGAACTTGGCTCGAATCTGATCATACTGCGTTAAATTTAGGCCAGCTTAGGAAAATCATACACAAAGTTCTATCTTCAATCAACTTCCACAAACTTTGAGTCGGCAATCATCAGGCATCTTACCTTGAAAGTCTTTGATATAATACAGTTTCCTGCATAACCCACTAAAGTTTCAGCAAATAACTAAGCGAAGTCAGATCTCCCTGCTTTGGTTTCAATGAACTTTCTGTCGCAATTCATACCTTTGAGCATAGTTTTCAGTTTGTGAACACGTCTTTGAAGCAGCATCCCATATCTTCTTAGCTGTATCAAAAAGCAAATATCCTCGGAAAATAGTTGGCTGCATGGAATTTATCAACCAAGACATAATAAAAGAATTCTCGGATTTCCACTTGTTAAAGGCCGGGTCTATCGAAGCTGGTTTAGTTGCTCCACCATCAAGGTATCCCTGCAAACCTCTAGCTTCAATGAATAATAAATAAGACCGAGACCAAGCCAGGTAGTTTGTTCCATCTAACTTCACCAGGCTAATCTGAAGTGAGGGGCTCTTTGAGTGAAAAACCATATCTACCTTCTTTCCATCAACCATATCTTAAAAAAAAAAATTTACCATATCTTAAAAAAAAAAATTTAAACGGCAGCAGTGATAAAAAGGACAGCAGCGGTAAAAGGCAGCAGCAGTGGTGGAAAAGGAAAAAAATTTCAAAAGAGGCAAAACTGGTGTCGAAGAACCAGTAGGTCTGCGTCGCCACACCGAGTCGAGGTCGCCGGAATAAGAATCGTCGACGGAGCTCGCTGGAAACAGCCGCACGTGCCGACGCGTGAAGAACAATCCAAATCTCTTGAAGGCACGTGTGCACACGCGTGTGGTCAGACGGCGACGCGGTTTGGACGGAGTGCCAATCGGCGGTCGTTCTTCCTTCTGAGACGGGTGGTGACGACCAACTCCCACTTTCGGCGGTGCTATGTGTATCTCAGACTGTTTTGCAAACTGAAACCATTGTCGAAAAATTCACGGCAATGGCTTTGATACCATGTAGAAATTAAAGGAAAGAATATGTTTATTTCTTTCAAATGTGTTATATTTTTCAACCTCTACTCTACTATATATATACAAAAAATTGTTCCAATATAGGAAGTAATCTAAATAATATAGGAATAATCTAAATAGGAAATAATCTAAAGGAAAACACAATCTTACACTAAATCATATAGGAAGTAATCTAAATAGGAATAAATCTAAACTAGGAAACACAATCTTTACACTAATTAGAAATAAACCTAAACTAGGAAACACAATATTTACTTCAATCACAAAGATTTCAACAGAAAGGCATAATTATGATAATCATACTTGGTTGACTGCCTTGCAAAAAAGCAAGTATAGGTGTACTTTATATAAAAAGTTTTGAACCCTGATTTGACCATAGTGCTCTAGCCCATGTCTTGCATAGTTTGAATGCAAGATTTGGCTTGGAAATTGTAAGATTTCTATACCTTAGCAAATACATTTGTAGTTTAGACAATTTATACTAAATATTCATAATCTATCTATCGTTCATAAATGTTGATAGTTGTTTCACTTTCTAAACATAAGTGACGTTTTCTACATACTAATGTTACCTATGTAATCAAATTGCTTTCATAACTGACACTTAATGTTTTCATGTGTAGAAAAATATTGAAACTTAGAAGTTTTACAATATTTATGTTGCATTTATTTTGATATAAAGGTGGTATAGAACATACCTATATATTATTTTAAAAATTAATGTTCTTACGCCAAAATAACATTTTTAAGCATATTTATACAATAACTATATGTTTCTTTTGTTTTTTTTTTCCTGTATATACTTCTCTACTATATATATAGTGCTCTATCATCCGACTATTATGGGTGCCCATAACATTATTGGGCAAAGTGAAGCTTGGTATTCTACCAGCTCCCTAGCCAAGCGTTATAGATTCGAGAGTGCAAGCAATTTGCCTATATATCCACAGAGGCCAGGAGAGAAGGATTGCGCCCACTATATGCTCACACGAACCTGTAAATTTGGAGATAGCTGCAAGTTTGACCATCCTGTTTGGGTTCCTGAGGGTGGAATCCCAAATTGGAAAGAGGTGACCTTTATTATCTTTATATGTATGATCATTATATATTATAAGATATGTTTATATAATTTCGTTATGGGAATTTTGATGAGAATCAGTAGCTTAAAGCTTAACAGATACATGTTTAAATTTTTAAAAATAATAGGTACTTCTAACTACTGTAATTCTTACCTAAATGAGTGAGCGATTAGACTATTCTAGCTTGTCCTTTTGGTTAGTATTTTTTTTTTTTTTTTTTTTTTTGTATTTTTTTTTTTTTTTTTTTTTTTTAATGTGTCCCTACAATAAGCTTCACAACTTTATCAACACTGAATGTTTGATTTTTTTTTTTTTTTTTTTTTTTTAAATGTGTCCTAAAAATAGCTTTCACACTTTATGCACACTATGTTTGATTTTATTCGCTAGCAGTTTTGGACGAATATTGTTATAACACTATCTCATTAGGGCATCCTCCATTCATAGTAGCATTAAACTGTTCCTTTGTTGGCTTTTGGGAAACATATTATACTACCTTTTTATTTGTATCCATTTTAATGTGATTTTCCCTATGAAAATTTTTCATTTTTGAATGTATTTATTTGTTATTGCGCTTATAATTGTCTCCTCTTTTCTTTTCTCCTTAAATTTTTTTTTCCTTGTTAACGAAAGAGCATGCTGCAAGTATTCTAGGGAACTTGGCTATGAAAATCTGAAAGGTTAGTGTGCTTGTGAACAGACATGTCTATGACAGAATATAGTTGTACAATTATGAGGTTGCTAGGAATTTTATGCTAGAAATGTCTCATAATTTCTATTTTCGCAATTATTTCACCACTTGTGGTTCTACAAATTAGTGAACAAAAATAATAGCTCTATACCGTGTTTATATTAGATGATGGAGCACCAAATACATCCTCTGTCCATGCCAGCCTTTCGAACTTCCTGTCCATGTCAAAAGTGCTAGGCTTATGCCCACTGTACAAATCATAGTTCTTTTTTTTTTTCCAGGTGGATTTTGGTTCACCTTTGACTGACTTTTATGTGAAAAATTTGAACTGTAGACTGAATCTTTAAACTTGTGTGGTAATGATTTTTTTTTGGGTAGATTAATAAGCGTTATTTTATGATTAAATCTGTTAAATATGATTAGCATTGCCATTATAAGCAGCTTAGCCTGGATGGTAATAGAAACATTAATGTTATCTGACAAATCTTTTCAGAAATTTACAGGGGATGGGTTAATTGCATCTTTTTTTATTGTGTTCTTGCAAATTGTGTAGAACAACATGTGTCCTAAACTTACTGTGCAATTTGCAATTATAGTCTTATGCTTTAGCTGAGGTGGACTTGTTAGTAGGCCATTAAAATTGATTTAATTATATGCAAATAAGCTTTTCAATATGACTATTTTGGAAGAATATGTAAACGTTAGAATGTGTATAATGATGATAGACCACCAAATCCACCAATATGCAAGCTTAATTTTATTTTATTTATAAGTTATTTTAGTTTTTTTACGTAATTGGATGGGTTTGGGCAGCCTAGCCATGATAAAAACCAATAGCAAAGGTACATGCTAAACTATTGCTAATTCGAGCCCTTTTGGGTGATTGACCCTTTTAGAAGTTGTTATTAGCAATATTTCTAATAAAAGGGATTCACATTATCATTTTTCTGAATATTACAAAGATGCTGTCTAGTGGATTATGGTATATTTGTGGCATATTGCTATGAGTCTACATATTTTGTTTCAGGGTCCATCTTTTGTTGACTAACCCTTATAAAAATTAAGTTATTTGCAATACCTAGCTATTAGAAGAGTTTGCATTATCATTTTCTGAGTAGTAGAAAAAGTTAGTGAATTTGATTAAAATATATTTTAGGCATATTCCTTTACATTTAGAATTAGTATAATGTTGTTTCATAAATATGCTCCTTTTAACTCCATGCTTGAACCCTATCTCTGCTTATAGCTGTTGTACCGGAGAGTCTGTTAATCTGCAAAATTTGTAGCAAAAGGGGTTAACTTTTTGCCGCTTGTTACCTTTTTGAGACATTTGGAACATCCTTTTAATAATTCATGAACTAGAAATTACAAAAGTGCTTCTGGAATGTTCATTTACCAAGCGTTACACATACCGACTCATATAAACACAACACCATTGCTTGAAACTCCTATAAGTTTCTTATTGGAGAACTAAGCAGCTAAGAACTCATCGAGTGATCAAGCATTGATTGCCCATGATATTGCCAAAGGAGACTTGTGCTAGGTTTTGTCTTTTTGTGAACCTCTCCATCAAAACCAAGAAGGCTGAGGAAATGTATTCCTTTATCCCATACAATATGTTGTTTGCTGGTCAAGGCTTCTGAGCCAAATTAGTTTGCTGTATGTATTATTATTTTACAACATCAAAATACTTTGTTATTTGCCCAAGTTAACAATTTCTGTACAAATTTTCAGTTACTTTGTAGAGTCATAGACATACATTATAAGAAGAGTTCTACATTAACTTTCATCCTTAAATATTTTTGGAGTATTTCAATTATTTCAACTTTGGATCATAGTTCCCCCTACTATTTACTAAACAAAACGTTTTTACTTGTCATAAATGATTTTTGCATTTGCATTTC